CGCTGCTTCTTTAGGTCCAGTGATCTAATAACGATTGATGAGCAGTTGTATTATGACAAAGGGACTCGGTCTAGCTAAACCGTAATTCATTCACAAATGACTACACTTTTATTTTGATTCCAGTCAACGCATCATACAAGCGCCTTACTGAGACTTATATGATCGGCCTACTCTTGCTCGTGAGGTCCTTTGAGCTTGAGTCTGAAAATTGTAGCACTACCTGCCGTCCTGTGGAACCTTCCAGAACTCCTCTGATTAATTAGTCTTTTTATAGGTCAGGAGACCCGCTCCCCTTAATAAAGACAACAGCGTTCAAGTTGATTCAGAATACATTTGATTCTGTCTGCAGCGATTGTACAAAATATCGGGTCATAACGCTTTTGCAAGGCAACAGAATTAACGCCACGCTTGGTATCAGCAAAGAGGATGCAAACTCGAATGTCTGTTTCCCTTCTATTGTCATTGTTGTTTGATCTAAAATAGGCTGGCCCAGCTGAGAGATCCAGCGACCAGAGCCAGCAGAATGGCTAGGCTTCCTGTAGCCAAAGGAGAGGCGGCAGCACTGTGAAGACGGTCCATTATCACCGTGGCATAGAGCTTCGCAACGTCCCGATTGTGTGCCTCGATATTGGCTCCTCTAAGATGCATGCATGGAGGTTCCGCTACGGACCAATTGGCAACATCATCGGGAATAAACTTCCAGGAGTGGTCCCACACCTTCTCACAGAAGTCTCTCGCGGTTTTGTAAACTTCGCTAATCGGCAGGCATTCAAAACCCTTCTTACACGTGTTGCCACCTGGTATAAATGAAAATAGTATGGCAAGTAAGGGGCAGGAGGTCTCTACATCATTGGCTAAGCACTGCAAACGTAGGCAACAGTCATGTAATTTTTTTATCTACCGAAGTCTTTTGATTGTTTTTTTTTCAATACTATCGGTAAGGATGGCTTTTATTCTCCTTTTTGTACAGGACCCCCGCAGGGCCCAATAACTGAACAAAAACGTTATAAGCGATTTCATATCGGTATAACAAACCTTGAGCGTGTTGCCAAACATGTAAGATCTGGGGGAGGTACAGTAAGATAGTCCTGATTTTGCGGCACCTAAAACTAGCAGTCTGAATGACGGAGAACTTTTTAAAATAATTGGATTGTGTTCACTTTAAAACTATGAGATTATGATTTTAAGGGTAAAAAAACAGTTAACAATAACGACCCTGCCAGCCAAAGCCCCGGATCCTCCGTCGAAATTCCGGGGAGGTAGGGGGTGACGACGGGGATTTGACAGGGTGAGGACGGAGTTTTCAACCCGCATATCCCCGCCGTCACCCCCGGATCTCCCCATCAAAAGTCGTGGGAGGGTATGTGTATTATCAGATTATCCGTGAAAATAATATCAAATGTCACCTAAAAACGCACTTTAAGTTCAAAAATAGTCAAAAAATGAATTAGATTGCCTTTTAGGTCCGTCTATAGAATTCTGGAAATTTAGAGTTGCGGAATAATACATATGCCTTAACCATCACCTTTGGATACCCCCGTATCCCCCCATCGTCACCCCCGCCCAGTTTTGGGCGTGTGCTGGCAGAGGATGTATTCACAGTATTTGTGGACAGAACTGTATTCACATCAATGATAATAAGACCAATATAAGATAGAATGAAAAATAATAAAATCAAAATGTTAAATGTGGCGTCGAAAACCTGGAGGAAATCGTGAACTTCTCTAAAATGTATATGCAGTACTTAATACACACAAGCGTTTAATTGTCAACACGATCCCTAAATCAACTATTAAGACGGAACGTTAACCTCCTACAGACGTAAAATATGACTCAACGCAAAATTAAAGGAATACACCTCAAATTCTTCAGTGGTACCGGTACTGTTCGTCAAACATATATATTCCCAGGAGTAGTGTTGTCACTCCTATACTGTAGCGAGCCTTTTCAGTACTCCACGAGAAATTTCGAAACTCTCAACCACAGGTGCACTGCTTGATGCGTTGCAGTAGGCCGTTACATTCTGGCCTGGCTTTTGTACTAGATGTGGTGCTGTTCAGCTGCTTCGGATCCAACAGTTGACAAAGTAACTGCTACTGAGAGACATCTGTTTGCATCAAGAACACTTACAGGTACATGATTTGCCAAATGACGTCAAGAGTTACGACCACTTGTTTTCGCTACAAATAACACTAGAGCCTGGAAGAGAGATGCTAGAAGTGCTTTTAAGAATTATTTGCTAGTTCTGTTCTCAGATTTTCATGCAATCCGTTTATCCGCTCAAAAGTAAGGGCATACTCTTCTCTTATGTCATGCAGATTAAAATAAGCCGCGATACCTTGTGGTGCAATCTCGAAAAACAGCGCTTATAAATACAACCGGTTAATTTAATGAACTTGTTTGTGACAGTATTCTGAAGTTCACGTAGCTATCGCTATATCACTTTTAATTTCGATGGCTTTCCGTGACCGACGATGTTTTCAAATCAAAAGCCTAACTCATGTCTGAACACCATCTGATCACAAATCAAACGGTGGTAAAATAACAGGAGCTATACTCTTAGGGCGATATTTTACATGGGAATAAAATTCCCAATACTTATCTTAAAATGTCGCTTCTGGCTACCCGAATCCTTATTTAGAAACTAGGAAATTTAGCTTTGTTTGTAGAAGTCAAGTTTGCATTTCTGTATGAAGTCAGAGACCAGCTGGGTGAAAAGATTCAGAAACATGGCATAATCTTAGTTCGACCGTGACCTTGTTGATCCAAAAATATATCTTATCAACTGCCAATTTCTGATGTGAATTCAACCTTGCGTAAGGCCAACGAATGTAACTAAAGTATACCTGGACGTTCCACGCTCCTATTCCTCTTAAAGTTAAATTTATCGAATTTGGAAAAATGAAGATATTATAACTCAACATTCATATCTGACCCTTTCAAATGTAGACTAAACTCCCTAAATGAAATCGCAAAAAGTAAAGAAGCGAATGACCTGTGTTAACATCACGGATAGGTCAGTAGCCAACGTAAATAACCCTCGTATACTGAATTTACTCACTCATTTTAAACTTGTTTGCGATATTTATGGCATAAGCATATATGTAGCTGCGCACTCCCCACGTTGTGAGTATAGTTCCCAATACTATTCAGCAATTCCAGTCTTTGTTATGTCATGTTCAACCAAACCATTCAAATATTTTCAAAAGGGTTTACAAAAGACACGGTCAGATGTAAGTAAGATCCTTGGTTGTGGTCAGCACGCCCTTAGACTTTCCCACCGAA